TTCAAAGGTTTAACATGCAAGATTGCAAGCCCGTTAGTACACCCCTTCCTACTGTAGTAGATCATTTAGCTTTGAATTCGGATGAAAAATATGATGCACCCTGTCGAAATTTAATTGGATGTTTGATTTACATAATGGTTTGTACAAGTCCCGATTTCAGTATTGCTGTGAATACCCTGAGTCGGTACTCAAATAAAAATAACAAAGAACTTTGGCAAAACCTCAAAAGAGTTCTCAGATATCTTAAAGGATCAGCTGATATTAAATTAACTTACACTAGAACTGACTATAAGAGCATATTGAGTGGTTATGTTGATTCTGATTGGGGAGGTAGTGAAAAAACGGATCGGAGAAGTACAACTGGATATTTATTTAAGTTATACGAACAATGTACCATCAGTTGGAATACGAAAAGACAAGCATCGGTAGCTATTTCGTCTACAGAGGCGGAATATATGGCTCTCTTCGAAGCCGTGAAAGAGGCACTCTGGATAAAATCATTAGCGTCTAGTATTAATATACATATTTTCGAACCGATTGTAATATACGAGGATAACATGGGCTGTATCAGTATAGCAAATAATCCAGGCAATCACAGACGATCGAAACATATAGATATCATATACCATTTCACAAGAGAACAAGTTGAAAAAGGTGTAATAAAACTCGAATTTATTCCTACAGGTAACCAAGTAGCAGACACTTTAACTAAGTCACTGCCAGCCGTCAAATTCCTGGAATTCAGAGATGGAATGGGACTGAAGTAGTTATATGGATAGAATACTTAAAGTCATTTATTATGTATTCATKTATCGTTTTAAGTGGTCTGAGTGGGTTTTTCTGGGTTTCCCCACTCCTTAGCAATGAATATTGGACCATATGTATTTGTTCCCAGAAGTAGAGTCAAACATAGTGGAAGTTTTGTCTTTACTTAGGTCATTTATTTGTTGATAGTATAATCTTATTTAAAACGACATAAAACTTAAACATTTAATCGATTGAATTTTGAGGGGGCGTGTTGAATTCTACGCAGTATTCTTTATTCTGCGTTTATATTACCATATCTACAAAATGCAATTGATACTTTTATGTATATAAATAATATCCGATATCTAGTGTGGGACACAGAGTGTTTTGGTCTATCGATGCGCGTTCCTTCTTAATCTTTGTTTTCTTTATCCCTACCAAAGGGCAGCTGCATCTTAAGTGCTTGGCGACGAAATATTTTTCTGTTGTTCGATTATTCCTTTTATACTGCTGATTGAGTAAAGAMGTGCTTCCACCTTATCATATAAAATATAGAGAAAATTGTGTTATAAGAAAGAGTATTTTTTTAATATCCCCTATAACCCAATAGTTCTATTATAATAAATACTTATATTTTAAATTTAAATAAATCTTACATTCTTGGGGGCTTAGCCGGGATAGAATCGATTTCACGAGCGTGTAAGTAATTATTAGTTGGAAGCGTTAAAGTGTCTAGTGCATCATGGAATCAAGGGGGACATCACAAGAAGATGTATCTAATACGACTGTTGCTGCAGCAGAGCCTGACGTCGATCAGATGAAGTACCTGGAGCTGAAAGCAAACTTGAAGAGGATGGGCTTGAGCTCAAAGGGCAGAAAGAAGGAGTTAGCGGAACGCTTACGAGCAGCTAACAATAAAAAACAAGATGACGATGATGATGAAGAGGATTCAGAGGATGATGATACCGAAGACGAGGAATCTATCATCGACGAAAAAGAAACTTCTGCAAGGGCAATGCAGATGTTGTCTTTTAAAGACGTTGAAGAGTCTGTCAACATATTCAGTGGAGACGGAACAACTAGCGTTAAATGCTGGTTAACACTAGATTGCCCAAGGCAGTCATTTTGACTGTTTTTTATTTTCAATTAGAAAAACAATTATGTATATAATGACACAATTTCTTAGAATTAATAATAATTAATTAATTAATATTGTTAATATTTACTAATAACTTGTTGTATAACTGTAAATAATATAAGAAATATTAAAAATTAATTTTAAACAAATTTGTTTACACATTAGTTATTTTTTCACAATGCAGTCATTTTGACTGTTTTTGGGCAATATAGCTATACAAGAAATCTCGGGCAATCTAGTGTTAAGAGAGTTTGAAGAGATGGCTGAAATATGCCAGTGGGGTAATTTACAAAAAATTATCTATTGTAAGCGATTATTACGAGGACCGGCGAAATCTTTCGTTCGGTATGAAAAGTGTTGTAAGTCGTGGAAACAACTGAAGAGGGCATTAGTAGAAGAATTTATGGAAGTAACGAACGCATATAAAGTACATGAGACACTTAGAAGACGACAAAGAAAAGTAGATGAAACCTATCAAGAGTACATTTATGAGATGTGTGAAATTGCCGCTCAAGCAGGTATTGATAAAACATCTACGATACAATATATTATCGACGGCATTCGAGACGAAGAAATAAATAAAACAATTCTGTACGGAGCTRCAACGATCAAAGAACTAAAGAAGAAAATTGCATTATATGAAGTCATGAAAGAAAAAATGAAGAAGAAGACGAAAACTACAAAGACGCAAGGGATACATGTTATCAACGAGAAGGGGAAGCAGTCACGCGGACCACCGTCGGAGTCCAACGGTGAACGTTGCTTTAGTTGCGGAGGGTTGAACCATCAGAGACGGAGTTGTCCATTTAAGAAAAAAGGATCAAAGTGTTTTAAGTGCGGCGAATTTGGACATATTTCAACAGCTTGTCAAAAGAACGAGAAGCAACGGGACGCGTCGGAGAAAGTGTGTGGTGTGAGTGTGAAAACCAAAGGGAAGTGTGTAAAAGAGGTGCAAATGGGAAATGATATAATTACGGCGTTGATAGACACGGGTAGTGACATAAGCTTAATAACAACAGAACAATATTTCAAGGTAGGCACACCGAAATTAAATAAGGAGATTTTGCGTTTTCAAGGTGTGGGCTCTGATCTAATTAAAACATATGGCGTGGTAGAAACGAGTATTATTATTGATAAGAAAATGTATCCGATCAAAGTTCACGTAGTTTCCGATGCTCTTTTAGATCATAGTTTACTAATAGGCAATGATTTTTTGCGGAAGATGAGTGTAACGATAGACGCCGGTAAAGTTTCCATTAGTGACGCGAACGAGGTTGCGAAGACAGACAACGAGGTACACGAAGTCTTCAAAATCAATGCGTTTAACGTCCGTAGCGAAATAGATCTGTCTCATATTGCAAGTGTGGAAGAAGCGAAACCGCTGGTAAAAGATTATAAAAACGCGGAACAGATAACACAATGTTCGGAAGAGAGTGCTGAAAGTGTATTACCTAGGGCTGAAGTTGAATGAATTTGAAATCAATGACGGATGTAGCTGAAGGTAAACTTGAAGAACCTGTAGTAATTGCAATAGTATTTCCAGAAGAAATCGAAAAAACAGTCAAGATTGAATCCACAAAAGAAGAACATGAGAAGTGTTGGAGACGTACGAAAGAAGATGTCCTAAAAGCACAGATGGTAAATCATAGATTGATCAATAAAAAGAGAACTGCCGCTATGCGATATAAGGAAGGAGATCTGGTTGCGATACGACGAACGCAATTTGGACCGAGATTGAAATTACACCCAAAATATTTAGGACTATATGAGGTAATTACGGTGTTAAGGAGCGATCGTTATATGGTGCGGAAAGTGGGGGAACATGAAGATCTATATATAGCATCGACTGTAGCCGATTCGATGAAACC